ACCATGCAAGGCTGTACACATTATTGCACGCGAAATGTACTCTTTAGACGAGGTTCGTTTTTATCAACCTTAACCGACAGCAGCGTTCTCATTACATCTTAATCACGTAAACCAACAAATTGTTCTACCTAAACACGACCATTTACGACACGAGCGCCCTCAAACTGGCACACACGACTACTTATAGTTATCTTCAAATACGCCTGGAGGAGAGGTTCAAAATGGAAAGAAGTCATAATTATGACGTCATTCAAAAAACATTTCTTATATAATGGGTTAAAAATAACACAAATTACATAACTAATGCATATCGAGAAAAGAACGTCATATCGACACATACACTACGTCGTACAATGCTAGAACTCACAGTAACACTATTTTGCACAAGCGATACCCCGAATTTAGAAAATTAAACTTTCACCTGTAACATATAAGGCTTGGCTATCCTTGTACATTTAACAAACATCTGAAATACAGTCACGGAAACTCTTGAAAATGTTGTTCTTTGACAGAATTTTAATTATAGCTTGAAACCTTGAATTATCCTGAGTAACAAATACATTCGAGCGATGTAAGTGATTTGAAGAATGCATTATTGTAACGCTGCAGCGGCATGTACTAAACACAACATGCACTAAATGGAAGTTATCACGGGTTCATATAATGGACGTACTACGAACGATATATCATGAATGCACAAACACAAATAACTGACGCCGCATCTACTACTACATTGTGTTGTTTCAGTGTTCATATTCATAGTCGAGACTGGTCACGTATTCGAAAAAGCTGGTGACATTATTTTAATAATTAGTGCCGGGATCACGGGGGCGTTATCTGTTTGACACTACTAAGTTTCAGGAAACGCGTAACTAGAGGGCGCTATACACATAAAGCTATAACATTATGTCGTTATAAAGGACGGAGCAATCTGAGGGAACAATACAGTGTATTAACAATGACATGCTTGAAATATAATATTGGACGGTTTGGGTATCACGATAATATATACTGAATAACCAACGTTCGTATACGCAAATGCAGAACAATAGTAACTGTATATAAAGCTGAGGTACAATTGTCAAAAGCTTGGGTGCAAAGGTGTCCAGTGAGCGCACGCGCAGTGCATGTCGGACCCAACCAAGGCCTCCAATAAACCAGACAATCGAGACTCAAAATATGACGTATACGTTAGAGTTTGGTGCAGCAGCAGCTTCTCCAGGTACTGCGTTACAACTTAACTTGAGAGGATCGAATATCACGTTTATCAGTGAATGCATCCATCATTGGTTTGCCTAAAAATAAATAAGTAAACGTGAGTGCCATTGCTGTATGGATTAATCGGATATTATAAAAAAAAAATGCTAAACTACGGTAATATAGCAGAATCGGATGAACCCGTACGGCAGAAAAAAAAACATTTACTGACTTGGACAATCGTTTGATAAGAGAACGATAAACTTTAACGTTGGATTTTACGATAGGCTACATAAACATTTTAATTTATGGACGTAGTAAGGACAATCATCGTTAAAACGTAATGCGTTGACATCCCACGAGCGAGAAACGCACGACGGAGCCGGTAAATACAATAATCCTGCTCTCAAACAGAGCCGCAAAGAGTCAGACCGAACATGAATACAAATTGCTGTCACAATGTTTTCTTCGCTTTTATTAGTTGAACAAGTCATGACGAAATGCATTGTATCTGTATATGAATAAACTGCAATTTCTCACTATTGTTTTTATCAAATGGACCGTACTCAGAGACTACTTCGTATACTAAAATTACATTACATTAGTTCTATACTACCTGGAACAAAACCCGATTGCGTGGTCGTTGTCTTCGATGGGGATGTTTGATATCTCTTCACCGTATTGCTCAGCTAAAACAGAAAATTACGTCATTCATTGAAAGCGCACATGGGGCCCGTGTGATTAGTGAATTGTATATAGTGCAGACATGCGTTTAATTGTGTGCCCTACTAAGGTACTACACTTGCTTTGACGTAAATATTATAATTTGTATAACAATCCCATCACTCGCTTGGGTATTGTCGCGTATAAGCATTTGACGCGTGATTGCAGCTTACCGAATGGTGTGTGGTGTCTTGTTTGAAATAATTTTCCCGACTGACTGTACGTCGTACTCTGGTGGCGAACGTCTTCCTTACTTCGTCATTAGCAAGGCAGTGGAAGATGAAAATGAAGAAACCCTAGAAGAAAACAACATTACAGTTCAACGTCCCCAAAGTTCGTCACAAAAGGGGCGTTGGTTGTTGCGCCGTGTGGTGTTCCATTTGTCAATATACAATACGTGTAATACATTGTTTGTGGCATGAAATTCAAAAACGCTCGGTGCGACGACCACCGCTTTTCAAGAATATCAAGTTTTTAAAAATTGAGTTTTAAGAAGGGGCCCGTTAGACCCAATACCTATACACAAATGCAGAATAATGCATTAATTAGTCGTTGCCATCGTTATTAGTTATCATTCCTAGGAATTTTGGAACCAATAAACAAGATATAGCACGAACAAACTCACCTGGAGGGAATTGAGTATGGCAAAGATGTACTGGAAGGCAATAGTAGCATTGTTGAAAGCGAGGCAGCCAAACAACCACGTGATTCCCAACAGAGGCAACAAAACCAACGCAGCACGCGTGGAACGCCTAGAAAACGTAAGAAAAGAAAAATATACAAGAGACGTCTGTGAGTGCAAATGACAACGAGCCCCTCCATATTCAGTTGACGTCAGCTTCATTCATTGCTGCTCATTGTACATCTAATTTATTAAAAGTTAAAGACTCTTTCGCGATGTTGTTATATTCCTGTGGTATTTCCAAAACGCCTTCGACCTTTGATTGTTATATATTTTGTTGGCGAAAGATGAACGAAGTATTCCTAAAACACCCTGTTGTCAATTTAACCGGGACACACACGTCACACAGGCGTGTTAGTGGTAGGCAAATATATTCACAGGGGAGGGATGCGAAGGCAGGGTTCATCTAACAACAATCTGCGCTCAAGATAATTAAAAACTAATTTCATGTAAACTGAATGAACAAGATACATGTGACCCAGCGTGACACGTCATCGCTTCATCCACAGGAGCCGGTTGATTAATGTCTTGGTTCTCATGTATCTTATTGTAATAACGTTAAGATGTAGAATGTAAATCAAACTTCAATCATCAATTCCGTTTCTATTTATCCCGTCACATTAATATGATGAATAAACAAATCAACCGACATCGGTTGATTGCATAGCAACAACGAGTTGAATAATTTATATGATTATGAAGACAATTATTGAGTCAATGAAAGTGAAATACTAGTAAATATTTATTATATTTTAATTAGTTATGTAAACAAACTCAACACAGCTCCGTTGTTGAGGGTATCTAAGGACTGAACCTATAATGTCAGACTTATTAACGACTCGGAGACTAGTTAGTGTATAGTGAATCTAATATACGTGTCCAGGCACACTTTGGTAAACATGTTTATTACTAATTTTGGTTAAATTCAATCCATGGCCTTCGCACATCCCATCATAAAACGATAACAACACCATTAATAATATTAAGCTGACATATTTATTTCAAACAAATCGTTAATCATGAATAGCGTATTATTTGTGGTGTTTGTAGTGTTTGTTGCAAATGTCAAGCGACGAAGTCAACACTGTAAACTGAATGCATGTCAAAAAGGCTTTAAACGAGAATGGCCGTCGAGATCTCGTCGATAGCGAAAAGGCCACGAGACTTGTTTTTACGCCATCGAATAATGTTAATTTTCCCCCGTCATCGCGTTCCTCGTTCAAAATACCATAGTTACATACGTTGGGCGAACATCGATCGCGATGACAGGAGCGAACACTACTTGAGAGGGAAAACCGCGATCTCGCGAGAATCTTTGTCTAAGGTCGGATATCGTGTAAAGTTTGCTTTTCTGAAAAGTCAGGTGATGTATTATACACTGAGGGACACGAGAGGAAAGATTTCTATAATAAAATCGTCTGCACGAGGGTGCCACAAACGACTGTGTGTCATTACTCACTTTGCTTGGTCAATTTTGGGTTTCTTGGCGATACTTTTAACTGCCAAAAACGAGTGCATCACCACGACCAAGATACCGATATTTACCTGCGTAAAGGGAGAACTGTTAGTAATGTTCACGGACATTTACATATTTATATTTGATTATCAGAAAGAAATAACGATATTTATTCACCACAATAATAAAGAGAGCGGGTCCAGCAAACGCCCAAATGCTGTAATCGTGTACGGATAACCAGCACACGGACTCAGAGCCATAGGAGGTAATATCTACGCCGGCCGTGATCGCGACAACTACTGCCGGCAATCCTTCGAAGAGAAAGAGAAGAAAAGGAAGACATATTATAATAAACCAAGTATCCACTAATCTTTGTTTAAATGAACTAGACTAAATATCATAAGAAATATTTAGAAAGCAGATAATAACTTAAAAATATAATTATTTTAATAATTCAGCTCATATACTACGTGCAAACTAGGAGAGGATAAAATTGTGCATATAATACAAATATACTGATATAACTAGTGAAATATCCCGATACGTAGTATACGTCTTACACTTACCGTAAGCAATAGGGTAGTAGAACTTAAGATATATACCCGTACTGAATACCCTGGTAACTCGTAAGTACAGGTGCATACCCTCTACTAACATCCACATAAACGCTGCTAAGTAGACGTAATGTAGTACCATGGCAACCCCAGTACACAGCGACTGAAAATAGAACAATGGTCACATCAGCAAGTCCAGGCCATTCACCAATTCTACGCGCACCAAAGCGTTTTTTTTTTCATTTTTTTAAACAAAATAACACACATTTCTGTATCAGCATTTTATAAACAGGTTACGATGAGTAGGTATATCTTATTTTAAATATCACACACTGAGGCGAACACGTGAAATACACTACGTGATTTAACTCGGTCTTACCTGGTTCCAGGTAGCGTCGGCTCCTGCTAGGAATGCGATGTTAGCTAACCCTAAAGTGACCATCAAGTTCATATTGATACTCGCCGATTCATAATTCAAACCCCTGGTATTAAACAAAGATTACATATATACCATATTTGTCTAAGCAAACAATTCAACGTTCAAACCTTACATCAATGCACATATTTGCATATTACGTAATTTGAAGACGCCTACCTGAAGCAGAAGGCTATAGTTAAGATAGAGAGTAACAGTCCAAAGAGTGATAACGAACACCCAATGTAGGTTATTATCTCCAGTGCCATCGAATCAGCTGCTGAAATCTGAAGGAAACAAGAAATGGTGTATAACTATCGGTATGATTTGTCAGCTGTTATGCTGTGTTTTTAAAGTTATTGTTTTTAAAAGCACCAACCTGAGTGTCCTTCAATTTGAGTAGCACAGCAAAGTTGGTGAGATGGTTACACAGACAAATCACGTGAGTGTCGTTGACGCCACCAACGGTGCACCCGTCAGTGGACCAACCACCTCGATCCGTCCCACTAGAACATACAACAGCAAATTTCAAGTCAACCAACATGTTTTAGACACCGCTAATCATGATAAGTCACAATTACACAAGATCGTTATTGTCGTAACGTTTAGTAGATAAGATACGGTGCAAATTTTTTTAAAATATATAACATAATATGTAAATAACAAACATTTCACATAGCAATCTTTGTTCAGTTTATCGCAAAATATAGATTCGGCCAATCATACATCAAGATCGTAGGTCACATGATGTAAACTGAAATGCACTGATAAATCAATCCTACAAATGTGATTATCGTTCTTTAATTCGCATTTCTCAAACAAATCTGAAATTAATTAATCAAACATCAAAGTGCCTCCCAAAAAAGAGCAAATGTTTACTGTCACAACATACATGCAATGCTTTTAAAACAAGACTGGCGTAACATATTCCTGTTCAAACAATGCATACAGTTAATAAATGTAATAGTAATTGTGAAAAAATACTCTACATACGGAACAGAGTAATTCCAAAATACACACTTAATATCGTCTTCATCTGCTGTTGCCTGAAGCAAAAGAATAAATCATTTACAAATTTAAAAAAAAAGCCATTAGCTTAGAGAGAAATTACACGTGCATTGCATACTCCGTGTTTTTAACACCTTAGTTCCAGCGAATGTTCACAAGTCGTTAGCCATAGTCTTATTGTTGCATTTCATCCAACCACGAGTAATTCCCGAACATGTTATATACTGCTATGTACATGTGCGCTGCCTTGAAGTGATTGCACTTTTATTTTAAATTAAACGCCTCAAGCATATAAGATTTTCGTCCATAAATATGTCTGACATATCAAACTTTGCACCACGTATACTATTAGTATGTAACAAAACCCATTTTACTACAACATACTATTCATACAATTAATTACCTCTATTATTTCCAAAGTGATTTTCACGTCATCCTCAAATTCTGTGTTGTCTTCTGAGATATTGTTTTTTACACTAGAGCTGATGACGCGACTGTTTACAGCGTACGACTCATTCAGCCTGTTAATGACGTAATCAATAATGAAATAACAATCCTCAATGTTTATGTTGGCGTTAAATCAGGGAAATATATCATGATATCACTAGTATTATATATATATATATATATATATTTGGAGGTTATATTACGCATCTGATATGCTATATATGCAATACCATAATTATATCTATGAACAAAAATATATAGTCAACCTAATATATATATGTGTACGGTAAATAAAGTTTTTAAATTGGAGTTCACTTTTCATTTCTGGGAATCGCCGGGTTAAATATTAGTTTGTTCTATTTCTGTCCAGAGCAATTTGTGGATAACAATTTATTGACGCCAAAATCGATTATTTTGCACTTTTCTATGTAGTTTCATATTTTGAAACGTGACACAGTTGCAGGAAAAATTGTTTATCAATTCGCTATAGGCGCATCAATATCAAAAACCTTACCTCACATCTGTGAACAGAATTCCAGGTAACGCCGGAGCTAAATTAGCATAAAGAATGCTTACCACTTTTAAAGGCACTATATAAAAAATTAAGACACCAACCTCAGTACGTGAATTACACATTAACGTGGTATTCACTGACCAATACAACATGTTTACTTTTTATTTTTAATATAACAACTTTGATTTGTTTTCATTTTGAGTTAGGCACAATTTTCTATATATAAATCTACAACGCATACCGAAACAAAAAACATCGGATGTTTTGTGGATAGTACTCATCATAGGCAAAACAATTTCACTAATGCACTAAGAGAATAATATAAAACCAATTACAAAGTAAAATAACGTAAGATAAACAAAATAACCTTCTACTAAATCCGAAGTAATTAGGCACGATAGGCAATATTATTTCAATGAGAGCGATACCACTTTGATGTGAACCGACAATCGGATGTTTTTCTGAATACTTATCACTGTAATAACATGTGTCAATAATTCGAAGACAAATTAACATATTGTTCTGAACATTTCCATTTTCACTTTTACAACGATCGCGTATTAGTTTCTCTAGCGAAAATCATCATAACTTCCGGAATATACACTTTTGGGTATATCCTGACTACCTCTGGTGCAAGGATTCTTGAAAACCTGAGAGTTATCTTCCTTCGACCTCCTAACTGTTCGTAGTCTAAGAGAACGCACACGATATGTAAATATACCAAAACTTTTATTTACCTGACAGAGGACCGGAAGTTACCGGCGGCACGTTAATAAGAGCAAAGGGACGTCTCCATTTCTCCTCCTCGAATATGGCAACAGAATAATCGGGAAAGTTCGTACCACTGAAAGACTGCTGATCAACTATCTCGATTTCCATTACTGAAATATACACAGTATGAAAGCATTACTTTTTCAACTAAAATACGTATAAACTTAGTTTATCGAGCACAGAACATAACACGCCAAAATGATGGGTTCTCCCCATATTGAAATACATTCCGTACATTTACATATATATGACATGTCAATTCCGGCCCATGGCGTTATTAATACAAAACAAATCCTTGCTACGAAAATCGGAAATTGCATGAGATATTTCCCACATACCGAAAGCGTCGGTCACAAATGACAATCTACCGGGGCTCTCATCCTCGAGATCACCCAGCTTATCCGATATCAACAGACAAATGTCCTCGGTAGCTTGCATGATAATTGGTCCACTGACTGCGCGACTGGAATCATCCTGAAAGTGGAATAAATTAACGAGTACGTAACAGATTTAATTGATCAATTCCACATTAATAATGTGTACAACATTCAGTAGTTAGTGTTGTGTTCACTATTGCTAAGTAGCCAGTGAGCAGGCAGGCCAACGTCGATGGAATATAAGGCTGTACATCTATACCCGAATAAACGATTAATTAAATCGGTGTGGAATCAGCTTATTGTCGTGTCTACTTTATTTTGGGCTTGTCGTCATGACACTAAACCAACAAGTCTTGTAGACACATTTCCTCTAATTTATATAAATATTTGACAACAAGAGAAAGTCAAAAAGCTAAACAGTAGAGTTATACAATTTCCCTCCCTGCTGATACTAATTTAAAGATAGAGGTTTTTAGAAAGTAAGATTTACATTTCAACTATTTTCATAAACCATAGCAAATTATATATTTCATGAAAGCACACTAATTAAAAATCAATGTATATGGTCATGTGACGTCTAAGTAAATAAATCGTATTAATAAAGATGCAAATAAAAGAAGAAATTGGAAGGGATGCAACAATTTCATCACAAATGTAGAATAAAACTTGAGAAACTTTATATGTATATTACATCTACAATTTCTGAGAAAAGTGAAATAAAATCTGCTGTGTCTATGGGTGAGATGAATTGGACTCATTTCACTAGTCATTTTGTTGTCAGAATTAAAACAAAGATGCACACTAATTTGCATATCAATGTACGAAAAGTGGAGTTGCTTCAATGTTTTTTTAGTGGTCATGAATTCTTCCGTGACTAATGTTTTGACGCTAAGTAAATTGTAGATGATAGGTGAGCATCTAAAAATTGTTCGGTGACATATTGTCGCTTTTTTCATTTTCTGATTCATAAACACCAAGTCTGAACAATTTCAATGTGAAATTGTTATATGATTATGAATACAATATGAGCAAACGTTTTATCCCGTCGAAGCACAGCAAACACGCATCCAATGACATTCATTTACCCAATGGAAAGTATAAGATTACAATAACTGCGCACCTTGTTTGAAAATAGTGTACATTAGGGTTTTAAATTCGTATATTTGTTATGAATTCGTTATATCAATAATTGCTAGAATATAGCATCAAACAGCTTAATACGAATTGGTTAGTACTTACCATGACTACTGTATAACTAACTAGCAATTGAAGCATTTCCAAGAAATTCTATAACAAAGAGCAAATAAAAAAAGAAAATGACTTCGTTATAAGACCAATTCGCAGTTTGTACATATATTGTGCTACGAATACACGACGCGTGATAGTACATGACTTATCACAGTAGCCACAAGTCTAATCGCTCGTGTTGAAGTTCCTTTCAGACTTTTGCTTATACTTGTATTAAGTTTCGAGTAACTAAAACTTATATGATTTATTTAACATATAGCGCTATGCGATATTTAATGTCCAAATTCCACGTTATTAATGGCCAAAGCCTAAACGTGGAAATGGCAAGATACTCAATCAATATCGACATTCATAATTTATAATAGGGGTTTAGCAAGTCCAAGAACACGAACGACAGACACACAATCAAACAGAACAGAATAAGTACAATGCATGGTCAAATCAAGCAAGGCGTTAACAGCAATGTAGCTGATTTCACGCACATTGCCGCCATCTTCACGGACCAGTGAATCATATTTAGAAGTGTCACTTACAAAGTCAGTCAATTACGAATTCCTGTTTTTGGGCAATACCACTGTATGATTACGAGTGTTTCAGATGAAATGTACCAGTGTACACCGCACTGATTAAGCATATACCAATTTTAACACCATCGCCTTCATTTTCATTCAAATACACTCAGTTACGGCGCTCTCCTTAACAACCGTTAATTAGGTTTAGCGACATTTTATTTCACCGTGTTATCACTTGGTTTTTTTGCCATATATTTTCATTATGCAATTTTAACAGATTTAAACACTGTGATTTATAGCGACTTTTATCGAACGGATTCAGAGATAATCTCCGTTTTCCATCCCTGAGAATTAGCAACCATACCGTCCTCTCTGTGGGTCGTCAAACGAATTTTATTTTTATACTAAAAATGCTGTAACATTTCTAAAACATGGTATGTATTCTGAGATACAGTTGATAATAGTTAATTTCAGCATTTTTCGTCTTTTTTCATGTAGTTAAAATATATGTGAATGTATTAAACATGTACCCGCAGACGTCAGGCATTTGATGAATTTCAATTAGGAGGATGGTGTTTAACAATGTAATAACACAAATTGAATATGTTATATCCCTCAACCACAGCAATCATCATTCATCATACTAAGTGTAAAACTTGTTCTTTAATATCCAAAGCAAAAATTATGCTCGATACGTTATTTATTAAAATATCGGACAATAACATCTTGGAGAACGGTTTTCATTTGCGTAAACTAATAAATAATGCATTATAAATAATGCGTTATAAAACAAATCATAAATGAATCAACATGATCACAACATTGGTGCATCGATTTATCCAATATATGAAGTCATCACGCCAATATATGAATGTCAGCATATCATTGAGTTATCTTTTCGACGTTTCGTGAAGTGATTAAATGCGCAATAAATGCAATTGTGTTTTGTTTGGGGGCACTTATTGGATTTGCTCAAAATAATGAGGGAGGAAATTGAATGCGACAGACATTCTTAGGCGCAGCAATAACGCTTTAAAAACAAAAATTGAAGTGGACCAATAAAAGGATAGAGTAAATCACTTTGTTGTACGCGGTCTCTATTATGCGGGATAGCGATCATATAGTCATTTCCTGGAAACGTGAATGAAACTAGCACCCTAATTTGTAATTTATAGTGGCGCTTGATGACGCATAGTAGATCGTTGGGGCTGACATTCCCAAAAGTCTCATAGCCACGACGATCAGTAACTGTCTGCTCGTTTATCTTGAGTTCAATTTATTAGTTGAACTTGCATACAGGGATACCACAATGTCTTTTGATGCAACAAGGAAATATTTATTTCTCCATAGAGAATACTTTCACTAAGTTTATTGTATGTTTTTAAAACTAATTTTGTTGTCATTATTCCATGTTATGCAGTTAAGTTTCAAGTCACCATTTGCAATAATACTTTCAAGAGCATCAGCTCCGTCCTGAAGATAAGCAAGTATTCACAAATCAGAACGAACACGTACATACAAACGTGATTTACAAATTAAAAAAAATATATATATTATGTTGTTACTTACTTCAATGTAAATATCCCTATCCATTGGATATACTAACATGTCCAATGGCGTCATTTCAACTAGTCGTATCATTGTATCGATAAAGCGAACAAGCTGGGTCACCGTCAATTGATTTGATTCTCGGATTTGTCTCAGTAGGGCTGCTATGTAGATATTGATGTCGTACGGCGTGACGCCACGGGTATCCAGTAACTGTAAGGAATAGGAATTATTGCATTTAACAGGTCTCGGTAGAATGGTACAGCAATTCAATTGAGTATTTCTGAGCTAGCATATATATATCTATCGCTAATGTGTTTACGTGTTCCTACACGACACCGCCTGTAAACCCCTGGCTTTCAAATACGTCTATATGTACATGCTGCGTAAAAAATGTGTTTTTTTTCTGGGGGGGGGGGGGATCTCATAAAGTGTGCTGAAACACAAAACACAATTTATCAATGATCTTTAGAATATTTTGTTTTAACTCCGTGCGTGGTATACAACAATATGTAGATTCCACGGGAAAGGGAGCAAAGAATTGGCCTGGAAAAGCTTCAACATAAAAGATGCCTCTATTCACGTAAAGACGGTTGACGCCGTGTAATCTCTAAATCAAATGCGATTCGACCCATGAGAATGAAATTGATAGATTTATGCTTAGTGATTCTGCGTAACCCGAATGTAAGGGCACATATATACAATCTTCACGGTCCTGTTTTTCACAATTAGTGGTTTAACTGTTTTATATAAATTGTCATTTTTGTAGTTTTTTTAAATTTATAAATATCAGTTACTTTTAATCGTAAGTATTTATTTCTGACTCGTTACTGTATTTCAAAACGACATTGGTGACTGTTTGCCCGCTGATAAGAAAATGAATTAATGAAGTTCCGCACACTCGTAGAATAATAATTTTTGGATTAGCCATGTGTGACATTGGTGATGTCCTAACAACACTTTATAGATTAAAGGAAGATAAACGCTTTGATCCAGTGCTCTTTTGCTGACTGACAAATTAAACGATTTTTCGTTCGTAGATTAATTAATACCGGTAATTACAATTGTCAAATTTAGATGTCTTAATGCCCGTTTTGTACAAGTATGACACTATAGCATGGAATTTGCATCTGTCGCATTTTACACTCAACCACTTATTAACTCTGTACTATAAAATCTGAACCCTAACATGTTTTTATTATCATATTATGTCTTGCATCCACTGCTTGACTTCAAATCTCATAAATTTGATATTCGAAGCAGAATGACGTAGGTTGGTAAGTATAAATGTGAATTGCAATTCATCGTTTTTATCTCTAAACTTATTCCAAAATTTATGTCATTTGGGTTCAATGAAATGTTTAATGTTAAAATCTTTATAGCAACAACTGTGTTCATTGTGAAAACAGCCATAGCATGTGCAATTGTATATAACAAACAGTAGACGATTAGTATTATGAATGTGAACATTTATATATATTTGTATGTTACTTAGTTTCTTGGTTGATTTATTGCGACGTTTTATAAAGAAAAAATAAACCGGCAGAATACGTACATCATACACTTAAAGTACTGGCGGAAATAACTTCTAATTATCCCCAAAGGAATGCATACCATTTATCTAAAATTTCCTATAAATTGAACTCGATTCCAATAAGGCTAAAATAGTTCGAAATAGTATGACCTACAAACGATTAGTAATAACAATTTTATAACTGCAACGCACGCTGTGAAATAATTCAATGCAAAAAATAAATAAATAAATAAATAAATAAATAAATAAATAAATAAATAAATAAATAAATAAATAAATAAATAAATAAATAAATAAATACATTTGCGGAACGGATCGGCTAAATGTGGACGTGCCGTGAAATTGCTTCGTAGTAATAACAATGATTACATGAATTATTCATAAGTATATACTGACAGGTCCCGTAAGATAAATTGATGTTTTGATACTACAGTTCAGAGATACATCATATTGATAATTACATAAACGCGCAACATGGTAAATCGACGGTATAATGATTCACAATAATAGCATTCTTATAAATACACGTACATCGGCCAAAACAAAATAGCCTTGATAAAGGTCAAGGACACCACCGGT